TAAGTAGCCGGCATATCCTAAGCGGTAGCATCCAGATCCCTATCCACCCTGATCGATGCATCAGTTAGAGCGCCGTTTATTATTCTCTGCGACGGCCAGAGGACCAAGTATTTGCTAGAAAAAAAAGTCGTGGTGTATATCTTAGGCAACATACCATCAGAATGCCCAGGCCTAGATAGGAGAACGATTAGTGTTCTTAAGCAAATACACTGGTTCAAAAAGCTTACCACAGTGCAGTGAGTTTTGGCGTTGGACTAAAGAGAGCTCGTTTTATGGAGTTAGGAGCGACCTTCACTCTAACCCCCTACCTGGAGGGCCAGGAAACTTAGTTTGTCTTGTCACTAACCATTTACCAATCTGACATGAGTGGCTCTGTAGGTGCTAAAAGCACCACGCAGCATTGCTCAGCGGATCACTGAGGTACACAAAACATCGCACCAGGTTAAGGTCCAGTCTCATCACGATGGATGTTCAATCGCATCGCGATCAACAGTTAAATACATGGCAGTACCGTCACAATTTCTATTCATCGATGTAACAGTGTGGTAAAATTTTCGAAAACACTTTGGCATCATTGTATGTGTAAGGTTTTCTCAGATCTAGGAGCTCCATTCTGAAAAGCTTATCCTACCAGTTTGCGTCAAATTTTGTCGGTTTACTAAATAGCCAAAACAATTAACTTGTGGTTCCTTCTGCAAACTCTTGTACATTGAGTGCATAAGCTCTCAGGCCAGTCATTCTCATCATCAGAATAAGCACTCTGGCCTATGAAGCTAATGCTGTCTTGGCAACCTGGGAGGTAACAGAGGGAACGTCCACTTGGATATTGATTTTCTGCTCCAACAAATGCCTCAGTGCTAACCATTAAAAGTAACTAATTGTTCTTCGCGTTGGGCTGAACACTATCACGGAAGAAGGATCAGTTCTGCTATATACACACGCTACCTAGGGCACAAACAATGCTCCATCTGTGATTTCCTGGACATCCTGTGACACAATCGTTACCAAAGTTCCATCAGCTTAGAAACGACTGAAAGAAAACTTTAGCTGGAACGCTTTTTGTCCACTGTGTTCATGCAACTTACGCTGGTGGCTGGCATGCATAACAAACCAAGGGACAGAGGAGTAGTGTAACATTCGGCATCAACATCCTCGAGTGAGGTGTTTAAGAAATTAGTGCCACGGCTATGCACATCAGCGAACTACAAAGGATGTGGCCAAAGCGTGTTGAACGTAGTCATGCAGCAAAACCAATAGGGGCGCTGCCATCAAAATGTGGCGCATATTCGGTTGCATAAATCGGTGTGCAGCATGTGATATGATCCTAAAAACCATTAGCCGTCCGTCATTCACTAGTCGAAACAAGGTCTTGTTTGTAGTGCACAATCTCCAACAAATTGCTGACATCTTAGAAGCTTTCATTTATGTTCACCAACGAAAAATACATCATAGCAAATCTGCCGAACTTGGATGGTGCCATGTCACAAATTATTGTTACTTAATTTTCACGACGGAATCATATTTTCATAAAGAATTTGTCGCTACTGTGGTAGAGACACATCCGAAACGACCGTTCCAATAATAGATGTGTTGTTTTTCTTTATACCAAATTTACCTGCAATGTGCGATATTTGCTAGTCACGGAAACTTGTATCACCGGCTATCTCTTCTGCCATTTACGTCTAGAAATAAAGACAATCCTCGTAACTGAAGCTAAGCGCCTACCAGCACGCACTGGGTCAAATTCCCCGTTCAATGCTCCTCTTGTGCAGAGTAACACGCCTTAACTGCTTGCATATCTTAACCTTAGTTTACATCAATGTACACGGTCTGGGAATATCGGTATCTCGCATTGAAAACTTTTAAGCTGGCTTGCAAGAATATATCACCTACATTACAATAAAACCCATATCATTTGCCCGCAATGTTCAGGGTTGCATCCAAACCGTCCTCATTGGATTTCTCAGCTCGCAAGTAAAAAGCATGTGGTCGACAACTGATTGCCCGAGAGTCACTTCGTTCTCAGTAACGATGGTCATAAAAGTTAACGGTGAATGCTACACAGTGTCCAATCTGACATGCAGCACTAAATCATACCATCTAACGGTATCACGCCCTGACAGAACTCGTTGAGACATCCAACTGAGTAATCTCAAACAACAGTCTCCAGACATCGTTCGAACAGAGCTCGATGAAAGACTCAGCGAGAATTCAATAGATTACATCACTCACCAGGCTTAATATTTTAGCCTTAACATCAGTATTTCTACCAAACCTCCATCACGCTAGCATTCCAGATAATTGAGACGCGTGTGACGTGGGTTTATTGGTAATTTCAGTGAAACATTTAAGACCAATTTGAAGGAGTGTCGAACGTATCCTACAGTGAAATCACCCACAGTGCATTCAACCACCGGGATCACTTCCAGTCGTTTAGCAATGAGCTCTCAGACAATGATTTTTTGAATAGATCCGTAACAGCAGGCGAGATAATGGCAGCTAATGATTTGATAATTAGCGGATGAAGCCCGTCAGGCCCTGCAGGCTTGGTACCGTCAAGGTTCGCAAGTAGCAGGCGCACCTCGTCGACATCACAAACCAAACTGTTGAGTTCTACAGGAATGTTACCCACTGAGATTGGTATGGACGCCGCGTAGTTTGCAAACACGAAAGTGAAGTGAGCGGCCAGTGCGGACGCGCGATCGGAACTGGAAGTTAGCAGGTGTCCGTCCGCGTCTTCCAGACATAACATGTCACCTTTTGGTTTCGAACGGCGTTTCACGTAAGCAAATATCTTCTTTGGGACCATCTTCGCGTCAGTTGCAGGCTTTTCTTCAAACTTCCGGCGCCTCATCAATTGCACTTTGTTGCAAATATTTCGTTGTCTTTTATATGCTTCGTAATCAGTGCCGAAGCCAGAGAGGCGAAATGCGTCCCACATTCTTCGCCGTAACCGAGCCAGCCTACCATATTCCTTGTCGAACCAGTGTGGTTTGATTGGTCCGACTTTCTGAAATTTCAACGGCACAAACTGCGAACAAAGCGAAGCCAATCCGTCCTTTATTACTGCCAACCGTCCTCCACAGATATAACATGCGGTAGAGACAAATCCATTTGGCTCGCTGCTCGACTTAATCCATCGAAATCAGTTTTCCAGTAGTTGTAAGATACACTCAGCAAGTTCAGTTCCATAGTGGCTATCAGCAAGGAATGGTCGCTTGGAGCTAGGGGCTCCTGGATTCGTATGTCATGCAAACCGCTGTTCGCAATTCGTCACCATCAAATCAAGGCACGATGGGTTCGAACGCGACGTCATGCGCGTAGGTTGGCATATATGTTGCGATGTCCCAGTTTCAAGCAACAAATCAACAAACTTTGATGCGACTTCGGAATACCTGGGCATGAGTTGGATTTCAGGCCATTGAATGTGGGGATAATTGAAGTGACCCATGAGAAGAAATCATGCATGACTCAAGTTGTTCCGACCAAATGCTCTACAGGCAGTAGCTATTGATCTGGCAAAACCACTGGCTATTTTCTATCAGCGATGTCTAGAGGAGAACCGTATTCCACCAGTATGGAATCGAGAGGTCATCACTCCTATTCATAAAGGAGGTAGCCGCACTGATCCTGCCAACTACCGTCCAATAACACTACGTCCAGTACTATCCAAAGTGATGGAATCAATCATCGCCGATGCGCTGATGAAATACCTGGAAAGCCACAATTTAATAGCCTCAGAGCAACATGGCTTTCGTCAAAAGCTTTCGTGTAATACTAACCTATTAATTGCACGTAATAGCTGGACTGA